GTGTGAATTGCACTGTTTATTTTTTTTTGCATGATAAAGAGTGACGAGTTTTTTGGCATAAAAAATCTTATGACTAATTGCTTTTACTCAACTACTTAAATTTTTTTATTTTGGTATTTTATACAAAAATAAATTTATTTTAGTTAATGAAACAATATAAATTTTATATTTATACTTATTATTCACATAATTTTTTAAATATATGATAAAATTTTACCAAAACAATTATTTTATAGAATCACGTTATAGTCAAACCTAATTTCTGGATACAAATTTTGAAATGACACATATATTGAAACGAATATAATATAATTTATTATCAGTTATGTGCAACGTACGGGTTGTGTACTAATTATAAAAATAGACATTTTTGTGTAATTTTGCACAATTTAAATTTTATATAACATTTACAATAAATTAATATAGGTATACATTGTATTACATATTGCTTCCATGATTTTAATTTATAAATATTATTTAATGAAAATTTTTAATTTATAAATATTAATGAATATCTCTTACCCGTGCATCGCACGGGATTCGTACTAATTTGATTACAAATGAATGATATATTTGAAGAGATGTATTTTTTTATATTACCTAATGATAGTAAATATTAGGATCATCTTTCATTAAAAGATGTCTTTGAAACTTATAGTCTTTTAAGAGTACACAATAAATATTTAATTTTCAGAAAAAAATTATATATAGAAGTCAATTCAAAAAATACAGGTATATGTAATTCCTCTTATATACTAATAATTGTATATAAAAAAGTATTTTACATTTTCCTTTCCAAAAAGAATTTGATATAAATCAATTAGAATGTTTGACGTTGTAACCAAAAAAATAAAAAGATGAAAAAGGGAAAGTGAAAAAAGAAAGATAGTGAACCTTATTTGAGTACATGAACAAAACTAGTGAACATTTATTTAATTTATATTTATTTTAGTGCAGGAACAAAAATAGTGAATTTTTAGCATGAATTATCAAAGAATATTTAGGGCAATAAAAAGTCAAGGAATCTCTTTCACTCACACTACACCGACAAAAATAGAATAAAGAAATTTATTCAGTCTATTATCATCATATACAAAATTGACGGTCCAAAATTCTACCGGAACACATGCAGTTTGTTGCATCAAAAATTCTCATGTCTCCTGGTAACGACTAGTTAACGTGCAATGAAATTTACGAAAAACGAATATGTAATTTCATTAACTAAAAATTTAATTTAGATCACTTTATGCATTTTTTTGAAATAACATACAATGATGACTGATGAGGATATCTGAAGAACGTACTGTGCTATTTATCTGAAAAAAAAAAATAGTTTGAACCAAAAATAAACAATTAGAATGCAAAATGAGTTAAATGTATTTTCGTTTTAATATAATCATTATAAGTAAATTGATAAATCATCTCAAATAACAAAGATAAGAATAATAAATTCTTTATTACTTATTATGAGCAAAATAGGTCAATCATTGGTGAGGAAATTTTGAGATGTATTGTTTCTATAGTGTAATGAAACATTCGATTTCATTTTTAAAAAATATTAAACTAACAAATTAGTTGGTATGGTAAAGATAAATGAAAAATGATACATAGCCAACTTAATGTACGGTTAGGTTGACAACACAAGTGAAAACATCCACTTATATATACATATATATATTTTTTTTTTTTGTGGATGTTTTTTACTTGTGCTGTCAACCTAGTTGTACACTAAGTTGACTATATAATATTTCTCAAGATAAATATAACCTTCACGATATATGACAAACGGGGGTTGACAGGTGCGGTCCCACAGACGAAGCGCACTAAATTAGGGAAGCCCAAATGAAACCTAAGTGAGGTTCAATCCAAAAACCAATTGGTTGTAGAAGGAGTAGCCCCACTAGACTTATAAGTTAGGCCTATTTTCCTTGTATAGACGATGTGGGACAACTCACAAGTGTATATTCTAACATCCCCCTCACTTGTGAGTCCTTCGGAAGCCCAAGCCCAACTGGGCTGGGTGACGGGTACGTCATTGCACGGTCCCACGAAGTCCAAAGCCCAACTGGGCTGGGTGAACCGGCTCTGATACCATGACAAACGGGAGTTGACGGGTGTGGTTCCACGGACGAAGCGCACCAAAGCAGGGAAGCCCAAAAGAAGCCCAAGTGAGATTTCATCCCAAAACCAATTTGTGGTAGGAGGAGGAGCCCACTAGGCTTATATGTTAAGCTTATTTTCCCTGTATGGACGATGTGGGACAACTCACAAGTGTATATTCTAACATATAAACTTTAAACTCCGTCATTGTATCTTCTATCCGTTGAAAGATCTACGGTCGGAATTTAACGAACTAGGTACTTTGGATGAGCCAACGGATCTTTTATTTAAATAATTGTTTGTTTTAAATAACATGTTTGACCCATCGGCCTGATCTGTAGACATGGTCAAAATCGGCTTTTGGCTCATTTCGGGTTGCAACCGTCGGTTCTGGCCCAAGGGTTGGCCAGCCCTGAACCGGCCCGAACATATGCACGGGTCAATTCTATCCAGGCCCACTTCGCTTACAAAAATAATAATAAAATAAAATAAGAAATTCCAAAAAAAGAAAAGAAAAAGGGCCTAACTGTCGGTTCTGTCTTCGAATCGGAACCGGCCCTTCAGTTCAAAAGGTACATATGTGGCCTGAAATCGACCTGATTAAACCACGGGTTTGGTTCAAGGCTCGTTGATCACCAGAGGCGGATCTAGAAAAATTCTTTGGGGGGAACAAAAGCTATTATTCGAACAAAACTGTTTGTGCACAAGTTCTGTTTGACTTAAAAAAACTCAAGCTCAACTTGATCTTATACTTAAAGGAACTAATCTCAAACACTTAATTTAATTTTTGTATTAACTGAGTTGGATCTCACTTGTTTATTAATGAGTCGAGCTGAGCTGACTCATTTATTAATCAAACATGAGCTTTAACATGAGATATTTTGGCTTGACTTGACTTGAATAATACCTTTAGAGAGGATATATAATTTTCTATAATACACACACATGAGGCATACATTTTCATTATATAATAAATAGATAAAATAAATAGTAAAAATGCTCTACCCAAGATATAACTTATGAATTTAGTATATTAAAATTGTGCTTAAGCTTATTTCAGATCACGAGACTCATTAACAATTGATTCAGAAATATTAAAATCACGGTAAAATTGCATATCTTGAATGCTCTGCTATTTCAAATATTTTATATTAAGATGTTATGAGCATGTTTGGATATAAAAAAAATGTGTTGAATTTTTTGGTTTGGTTTGGTTAATTTTGAAAAATGTGGTATGGTTAGTTGTTAATGAGTATATTAAAATAATATTTAAAATAAAATAATTAAAATTGATTTGATGTAAAAGTAGAGAGAAATGATTTGAAGTGATGGTTAGTTAAAATAATGTAAGTGGAGGAATAGTGAATTAAGGTTGATGTGGTGTGTATGAATGATTGATTGATATTATTTAATTATATTGATAATATTAATGATAGTGGAGTTGAGTTAAAAAAAGTGGATAAGTTAAAATGTTGGAATTTTTTTTTTTTTTTTTTTTTTGAGATTTTTTGTATGCAAACATACCCTATATATCTCATACATTGAATTTAATTAAATCCTATATTACTAAGATAAAACACCAAATATTATAGGTGAAGAGTAAAAAATTACTTACAAAAATATAACGTACTTAAAAATAATTAATAGACTGAGCAATACAATAATTAGTAATAACTATGGAATAATACAATATATTGAATATGCTAATACTATATATTGAATAATACTATATATTGAAGTAAATGGTAAAAGATTAATAATATTCTGTAATGTGCATATATATACATAGTAGAATATAAAAAATGATCTGCCACTGAATTAAAGTACTCATAAATATAAAAGAAATGATCTTATTATTCGAAATAATCAATAACGGACGATCCTTTGTTGCTGCAAATTAGTGCTATTCTTTTACCTTGCATGCTTGTGTTGTGCGTCCCTGTGCTCTGTTTCGTTCATCGTTGTCTCTATCTCTGGACTCTTGAATTGAGTCTTTTTTATGTTAATTAGATTATTTTTATTATTTTACTAATAAGGAAATAATATATATAATATAATAAAAGGTGGAAGTTAAATCATTAAATGGGCTTTATGGCTTATCTTTTATATATTTGTGTAATGGGCCTTGGCTTGTCCCAGTCCACATAGTTTCAATCAATATATCTTTAGTTAATTAATTAATGGAGATAATAATAATTATATATACTTCATCTGATAATTAATATATTACAGATATACATAGGTAAAAGAAATCAAAAGTTTGGGGGGGGGGAGGGGGGACCGTGACCCCCCCTAGAATGAATGTAGGTCCGCCCCTGTTGATCACGAGCCCTTTATGAGCCGGTCCAAGGCTAGTTTCGGGTGAACTGACTCGTCTACATATCTGGAACAAACAAACTCCAATCGAGAATCGCCACATTCAGAACCTGTTCGAATCAAGAATTTACGAATCTTCAACCGTCAGGGTCAAACTCAAAGCCGGCAGGTTGGCCCGTTGAGCATATCTAGGTGAATGTGAGTGAAATAGATCCCTTGACTTTTTAATATAATTAAACCAACATTATTATTATTATTATTATTTTGGTACAAAACCAACATTATTATTAACATAATTAAATCAATATTATATTTAATTTTGTGTGGGTAATCTACTTTATTAACAAAATTACACCAACATTATAATTAATTTGTTTAATTCACACAACAAAGAAGAGTAATAATTGCGGTTACCAAATTAAAACGAAGCAAGCAATAATGGCGTGAATGGAGAGTAAGCGTAAAGCCCACCACTGTCAATCCCAAGCCCGGCAAGATTGGATATTCCAGCTCACTGATTGATCCACGTGTCAGATTTTCCATTAAAGACAAACCCCAACCAATCCGCATATTAATATTCCCTTTCAGCCCAGGCACACTCTTCCCCCCTTTCCCATTTTTCTACCTTTTTCCTCCCCTCCCTAAATATTATCAACACTCTCAAACAACGCAGCAGAAGGAAAAAAAATCAGAAATAATTTGTGTAAATTTGAGAATTGGAGATTTACTTACCTTGAGGATCTCTAGCTGGAGACGATAATGGCGGATGGCATGCTGAGTTCCGGTCGGTGCGAGAGGCTGGGGTTTGAGGAGACTGAGCTGAGGCTCGGCATCGGGCTGCCCGGCGCCGGAGATCAGAAGAGCAGCGGTAGCTACGGCAAGCGGGGGTTTGCCGAGACTGTGGATTTGAAGCTCAAACTCTCGAGCAAGGAGATCGGCGATTTGGATCGAGGTGGTTTGGAGAGGAAGGATCTGTGCAAGGAGAAGAATCTCATGCCTTCTCCGACTGAATCTGCTAGGCCTCCGGCTAAGTAATTTCTCTCTCTCTCTCTCTGAGCGTGTGGTGTGTGTGTTATTCGAAGTTTTATTTTATTTTATTTGTTTGAGTTTTGTTTGGTTGAATTTCTGGAAAATTGATTTGGTGTTGGGATCAATTTCGTAGGATTATGTGTTT